GAAATACTTATAAATGAATTTATCACTGATAATTTACAGTTAACGTGGAGAAGTCACTGATTCAGCTGCTCACATCGTAAAAGTTGAACAATTTCAAGTTTCTAAACGGTGATCAGAAGAAAGATCACATTTTATTGTTGTTTAGATTTACTGCTTCGCGTAAACTGAGCAGAAATAACTTTTTTTTACTGCTAGCAATGGCATAAGTGGAGTAATTTGCTAGAGACTGAACAACAACATTGAAGACCACTCGTTTTCTGCTATTGTTCGACATTCAGTATGATTCATCGAGTGAAACTTCAAATCCAGAACCAGAAAAAGTATCCGATTCGGACTCCGCTTCTGATAATCCACGAAATGCGCTGGATGGCATGAACACTGCGGCAGATGTCTTATAGAAAGGCAAGAACACTGACCGAGATGGGCAACCACAGTACTGAGCGTCCGAACCCGGTAGTCCCGAATCGCCGGCCTTAAGATTCACAGCAGTTCGAATTATAATCTAACTATAATATATCACTGGATGTGTCAAATTTGAAGTGAATTATTCGAAACAAAACGGAGAAAAACAATGAGAAGTACAACAACTGACCTGGCCAAGTGGCCCATCTAAGCCAGGCTGACCAGGTTCGCCGGGTGGTCCCATTGGACCTACCGTACCAGCTTCGCTAATCGCATTATCATTATCTTCGCCGGGCGGTCCAGCTTCCCCGGGACGTCCTTGAGGGCCTGGTGATCCTTTCCGACCGGGAACGATTGAAATTTTGAAGAAGTTTCCGCCTGCGACACCGACTGGTCCCATTTCCCCGATTTCACCTGAAGAGCGATTGAACTAACGCAAAAATGTTTGACAAAATAAGAATCAAATGTTGCTCACCAGTTGTGATGAGAGATTTAAACATCAGTTGGCTTTGATCTCCAGAAGATCATACCACAGAGATGATACTTTTTAGAGCTAATAGATGATGTGATGAATTGCTCAAAAACTGATAAGAATTACCTGGTGGACCAGGATCACCTTGTGCACCCGATAGGCCTTGATATTGCTCGGAGAAGCAAAGACCTTGCTTACCGGGAACACCCCGTGAACCGATGGCACCAGCTTGTCCTAGCGGACCCGGAAGACCCGCAGGACATTGAATGCAAGTGCTGACCGGTTTTGGACGATCAATTTTACGGCGCAAGCTAGGTATACCTGATCGACCGTTGCGGCCTGGTTCCCCTAATTCTGCAATCGGATTACTCGATGAGTGTATACGTTCATAAATTCAAACAGCATGTCATTCAATAGCTATTGTGCCCGTNAAAAAAAAAGATTGGATATGTGACCTACCTCCGTCTAAACCAGGCTCTCCCTGAGGGCCTGCCGGACCTCGAGCGCATTTTCGCGACCTGAATGCACAATCTGCAAATATAGAGACAGCGCTATTCCATCAACAATTTTATTTTTCATCAATTTTTTTCCTCAACAAGATCTATCACCTTTTCCTTCGAAAACAATCCACATCTAAATTTCCTTAGTTGAAATATACATCCAAATAGTAACTAATCACCATTCAGTCATATCAAAAAATTAAAATTTCATTTTCTAATAGAAAATCTGGTGAATTTCAGTCTATCCTTGGAATTTCAGCATTCAGTTCTCTACATATCAACAGAGAATTGAGTTCAAGCATGAGAAGACCGAAGAGTGAAGGTCTTACTGCATTCTGGCTGTTGTCGTGCATACATTCTACTGAAACGTTTTGATCTGAAAACAGTTTCCTCATTTTCTGCTGCATCCATCCATAGAATCTTTCGTTCAATCTCCACTATTCCATCCCAACTTTGATCTGTGACCACCTAAAGACAGCAGAAAATTATTATAATCATTCATTTCAAAGTTAAGTTAAGTTAAGTTATCATGGAAACAATATTTCTATTGAGATTACTCAAATCCTTTGAAATCTCAGATCCAACCGAATAACCGAATAATCCAAATGAACCTTGAATGTTTTCATTTCGATCAACACCTCATCGTGAAATTCATTCAGCTCCAGCAATAACTTAGTTGCTAGCAGCCAGCTTGACAGAATTAAGACGGCGCATACGATGGCCGCACAATTCGTTACTTGTTGCAACGTCCACTTTTTCATATCCATCGTCATACCAATCTAAAGCCGAGCAAATATTGCGCTTTCAACAGTCAAATGATACACAAGTCGTGAAAGATATTTTCAAAGATATTTTTCCTTTCACGAGGAAATGTTTTGCCCGAAACTAAGTGATGCACCATTGTCCATGACGTTTTTAATGATCCATAACAAATAACCAAAAGGAATATGGCTTATTTATGATTGACGAAGACATGACATCTAAAGGACTTAATTTATGATCTATTTGTTCAAAATCACCAGAGGAATTGAATAAACTGGTAACACTGATACCGTCACTACAACAATTGTTCCGAGGTAGTTTCAGAATACAGTCGAATGACAAATAAAGGAAATTTTCAGTTTCACGACAAACTTCAGCATTGAATCAAACGAGTGAATGGATGCTGAGATGCATGATGAATGCCCTCAAACAAGATCTATCTAGACGATATGACCATTTACATTTACAAGATTAGGAATGGAAGCGTCAAGGGAAAAGTGAGATGTAACTGGAATTCAGTAAAATAAGATTCATGAAAAGAAATTATTTCACTGAGAGTGTAGCGAAGTGGAGAGAAATGGATTTTGCAGAACGGTCGATTGCTAAATCGTTGTAAATGATTTAAATGAAAATTTGACGGATTATGAAATCTTACAATTGTGAAATCGATCTAACGGTGATCATCAACACTAAGGAATTATGATGAGTGAGTAAATCTTCGTATATCTCTCAGCGTAGCGGATTAATGCATTTTGATCAGATTAACGGATCAACAGATCAAATGTGTTGAAAATTGCACAGCTGGAAGTCTTTTGTTGGCACTCTGAAGACCTCAAGCGATCTACTTTCATTCGTAGAGATATTCACACGCAGAATTTGATCCAGATTATTGAAATGATGTGATTATGCCTTCAAATTCAATTTCAGTGAAAATCATCCATACCTGTTGCCTGAAGCCAACTGAAAATCGAACGAATAAAGGCATATTTCAAAAAAAAAACCCAACTTTTGCTTAAACACGAGAAAAGATTCGTGTGATTCAAGGAATCTAAAAATGGAAATAAAAAGGAAAGCTGAAACGTGAATGGAATCGATCTGAGTATCATTCCCACTAAGGCCATCATTACCTCACCATTTCTGCTAAAGTACTTTACTGTTTCCACGCATAACGTCAGAACTAATGTCCCGTTCTCCTCCATTACCTCCCTGACACCCCAAAATTACCCAAAATGTGTAATTCCCCTCTAATAGGACCCCTGAATTGTATTCTTCAGATGTTTGTAATCATCAACACAAATAATCATGCAACAATTTTATTAACACCTCAAAAAATTGAGACAAATTCACTTCTTCGATTTAATGCATTCATAACAATAGCCATGTACTCGCCGGTCATGTCTCTATTATTATACATCATATAATCAAATCGTTGTTGTATCATCGTTGTAAAATTGGTCAGCATAATTTTTTTGGTTTTCTCCAAAATGACAACGGAAACATCAGAGAACTCTCAACAAATTAATGGATCACAGGGCAGAACTATTCGTGCAGAAATAAGAATGAATGAAAATATTATTACCATTACAATTACAAATTATTATGCATCACAAGTTGTAGGCAAACGGTAAGGTATATATATTAGTAGTGAAATTAGAGACTTGAGTCAATTTCTTCTTCAAATTGAGGCCATATGCACACATTCGTCGGACAATATCATACATTGACATTTCTGAAAAAATCAAAACATTTCCGAGGTAAAACCCTCGAAAAAAACTGCAAAAACTTCTCCCAGAAACAGTACAAGTTCTCCTTTGCTCTACTAGAAAAACAGACAGTTCACCGTAAAAAATTTGGAATTTACCTCACTACGAAAAGAAATAGTTTCTCATATTCGGCGAAAACAACCCAAGGAAAGTGATCATTTTGGATCATTTTAGATCATTCTTTGGAAAGTGATCATTTTCATTGTCGTATGGTGGTATAATCAAAATTTTGAGACTTCGTTATCTTCAGAAGCATCAACTTCAGACTGTAGCCGCTTATAGTTTGTGAATTATTCCGAAAAAGAATGCGTTAGAATCATTAGATAACATCAACGAATCCTTAAGAAAATTGTACAACAAAACAAAGTCAAAGGAATAATACTCATTTCAAAGCACATCATTGTATATATGTATACACATAATACTTTTCATTGCATCTCTTATAATATCAACTTAAAACAAAACAAAAAACAAGGTATTTTTCAAACAAAAAGAAAAAACAAAAATAATAACAAACGAAAGAAAAATGCAATTGAAAAACGCAATCAAAATATGACTAGACAACGTTGACATAATGAACAAATACGATAAAAGTGCTCTCTTAATGAAGGTGAATTTCATAAAATAATCAATTTTATATGAGTTTTTCAGTGAAAATTTTTGCAGAAACATTCGTAAATTATACGCTCATTAAGGAGTATTGCATGAGACACTTTATTTCAATTGTTTGTAAACACTTAATCAACGAAAAATTAAGTGTAAGGGAGAGCAGAGGGCACTTCAGATTATTTCTTTTCTAAAAAATGTAACAAAAATTATAACTACGTTTTTTTTCTGCACAGAACAAAACAGTCTCCTCTTGAGAAAAGAAACGAAAAAAAAACAGTAACAAAAACGAGAGAAATGAGGCAACGCTGTAATGACATTATATCGAACCGAATAGTGTTTGAAATTATCAAAAAAAAATTCAAAACAACACAAAACATTGTTTTGTGGCAGAAAGCTTACTAAATGTAAGATCTACAAAGCGATTTCCACGTTCCAACACACAAAAAGGCACACATTATTCAGAGTATGGCATGAAAAACAGTCAATATAGACGATTGATGTTGATTTTCTGAAAAAAAAAACGCAGAATAAATTAAACAGATTTTTCGCCCTGCAAGCACGCTACTATGGTTTTTACACAAAGCTCAGAAAATTTCCACGAAACTACGAAAGTTGATTAAATAAAACCACTTGATCCACTCCTAATCTAGGTGTCCGATAAGTGAGTTTATTGTGTTGTGCAAACGAAACAAATGGGACAATGAAAATCTGAACGATAAAACACTTTTCATTGTTTGCTTAAAGTGAGCTCAGCTCATCAGCGACCCATACTTTTCATCATCACCATATCTCAGGCGTTTGTGACGGTCGTTCCAGTCGGTTGATCATCCACCAGTTTCAGTGTTCGTGTTCGTCGTACTGAAAACAATGGATTCCATTTAAAACAATTTTTTTTTCACGAATATAAAAATTTTCCAAAAATCATGAATTTCCACTTGGGAGCAGCTTTACTGCAGGTAGTTGATCGCGAGAGTTTTACTCAAAAATGTTCGTTTGATTAGAAAGGAACAGAAATGAATGAACGAAGTGATGCGAACATGATTTCCGATTGAATTGTCTCGCTCGTCGTCGATGGTCGCGAGGCTCACTCTGAACAGTTGCTGCCTTCACTAGACCATCCAGAATGGCGTCTTCAGGTGATTCGATGTTTGCGTTCGTTGCATCCGCTGGTAGTCCGACCGAGCGTAACACTTAATTTCGTTTTTTTTGGAAATCAATCACAGTTTAATAATTTCAAATCGCATGCAGTCGATTCAATTGATAACATTGACGCATATCATATATCAGAGCCAGTTGATTAATACTGATGACTTTTGAAACATATCAGTTACAGAGAGAAACTGAACGAACCAATATGTAAATAAATTGCACGAGATTCGAGGAACACTTCATCCATAATTCGAATGGAAAAATTTTATAGATGATGAAAAAANTCATATATCAGAGCCAGTTGATTAATACTGATGACTTTTGAAACATATCAGTTACAGAGAGAAATTCAACGAACTAATATGTAAACAAATTGCACGAGATTTGAGGAACACTTCATCCATAATTCGAATGGAAAAATTTTATAGATGATGAAAAAATTGCAACATTCAATGCTTTAGAACGAATGAAACGAAAATGTTTGAGAGGGATTTTCGTGAGAATATTTTGATGAAAGAAGAAACGTTCAAGCAAAAGCGCCTTAACCAACTTTCTCGTTGATTAGCGATAATAGCGGCCGGAGAGGGTTCTGGTGTGCGACGCCCTCGAGTTCTCTTCAGTGAATCATCTCCACCCGTTAGCATACGAGACATTTCTTCATGTCTCTGCAAAAAAAACTCACAAAAATAAATGCTCATTGACGAATTATGCATCCAAAAAAAATTAGAAAATTGCCTAAATAATTGCCTAAAATTTTCACCGAATAACGCAGATTTATGCAGTCGAATAGAAAATTCTGATGTTTACTAATAAATTGAAAGTGATCATTTCTGATGAGAACACTTGATCTGCCCAACTCTACAAGAAATTTCAGCACCTGTTGAGCGTTCATTTGGACAGCAGCAGGGCCACGTCTTCTTGACATACCACTGACCGCATTCACGTCTTTACCGTCTTGCTGTTGTTGTCCTTCCAATGCCCATATTTTACCTCGAGTCTTATTTCGTTCTCGCTTATCAGCCAATCGTTTACGTTGTTGAAGTATCTTATCGCGAGTGGTACGATACTCCAACGCAAACTCAATAACCATCTTACACACTTGCATTGGCTTGATCGAGGGCACTTCTTGGATACTGTAGCCAAAGAACAACAGAAACGCATGCCACCTGAAAGCCAAAACGGTTAATTGCGAGTCTAGGTTATCGATATAATCACTATA